CTTGTGTTTCACAAAAGTAAGTTAGACATTTATTTTTGGGTCAGCTAGGCCTGTATAAACTCAAGAAGATAGAAGATAAAACATTGTCTGGAGGGTTTGAACCAGTGTGCCTTTGAGCAGAGTGTCCATGTTCTGCCTCTATTTCACGTGTATTTTATGACAATACTCACCATCTGAAGATCGTGTGGCTGGATAATATTTAACGTTACTCCCAAAATGCCTGGATCATGAAGGAAACACACACAGCAATATTAGCTATTTGTTTTAACTTTTTACTTAGGCTACTAACAGAGACATTTGCAAAAGCTTGCAAAATTGACTCACCAGCTCCAAGACAATAACGTTAGGCCTAACTTTAACGTTAAATCCCGCGATCAACAATTTAAAAGCCTAGTTTGCAGATTCTTCTAGACTCGAGTAAAGGAGTGTGGTTCGAGTTCTTCTGTCTAAAGAGACAATGTTCTCAGTTCACTCATTGTAAAGCTCCAATGCTGAGTTTTATTTTATTTTTTATCATAAACTAATTTAGCTGACAATACACATGCTAGCTCAGCACATAATTAGCCTAATACATTGGAATACCGTACTAATATCAATATTTCTCTAATCGCGTTTAGATTCTCAATTTAATACACTATATTTTGATGTATTAGAATTTGTATAAAATAAAAAGTTATTTACGTTACCTTCCGTAGATTGCAATATGTCCATTGTTGTCCATATTCCTTGTTTGTTCTTCATTTACATCCCGCAACTCGCTCAAAATAAACATTTAGCAGTCCGATGTAAAATAATCCATGTTTTAAACAATGTAAAAGCCACAAAACCGAAGTAGGTCCCGAGCAGCAGCACACACACCCACTCACTTCAACTGACGTATTCAAACTTGACTGGTAAAGGCGCGCATAGTTGTCATTGGCCAGATTCCTGGATGACAGTCAGAATAACCAATCATGCTCAAAACTACTCGGAGAGACAGCCAATAGTGTGAAAACATTACAATAACAGGACAATATGAAATGTTTTAAAAGAAAGAATAGGAAAAAAAATATACACGTGCTATTTAGTTGTATTTGTAGGCTGGCTGTTATATTTAATCAATTGTTTAAATGTGTTTTCATTGCAGTGCATGATTAAAAATGAAAGATAAAAAATGAAAGATAAAAAATGAAAGATTAAACAGTAACTTGTATACCATATATATATAACATTTATTTATCACTGTTCTGATAAACAGCAATTTAATAGAGCAAACAGTATAATTAAACAGAGCAAACACTGCATATCTATTCATATACAATTCTGTATGACGTTTGTGAAAAACTAATGGATTGGTATCATGGTGGTGACATTAGAGTTACATTCATGTGACCCATAATGACCCTTTTGCACTTTCACAAATTCTTGACCTTTCCTTTAGAAACACTCTAATGCCTAATAAATGTCAACATGCTTTGTGGTACTGTTACACAACATGTTGGTTTAGGGTTAATCCCTCTGTCCAACGCAACACTTGCTAACATTGGCATAATTAAGTTACAACATAATACCCTGGGTTTCACAGGCAAGGCTTAAAGGAGAACTCCGGTGCAAAATGAACCTCGGGTCGGGTGTAATAACACATTGGTACAGACTAAATCGTTCCCTGAGATTTGTTTTCATGATAATCGAATGTAAAGAGTTTTATCTCTAAAAACAGTTTAGCTTATAACGCTAGTATATTGGCATAGAGTAAGCAAAAAGAGATCGCTAGTTAATACCACTAACAAGGCTCAAATTAGCCCCACACTAACACGGCAGCATAATGAGTGTCCTTACATGCAAACCGAAGCATTGAGAACTTTGTAAGTGTATAGACAGTTTAATAAGAAGATACTTTACACAGACAGTACAGTTAGCGCAAACAGACAGGAGCCATCTTGGAAAACAGTCTCGACCAATCGAACCACGAGGGTGAGCGAACAGTACGTGTAGATATTGAAGATAAGATAAATTATATTTATTTTTTTATTTTCTCTGTTGCGTTAAGTGCTTCTCTTATGCGCTCAGTGCTTTCTTCCGGAAACAACGGACCGTATGAGATTCCAAGTCACAGTTCAGCTCACGTATCACCGTGTTCGTGGTTTGACTGATCGAGACTGTTTTCCAAGATGGCTCCTGTCTGTATGCGCTAACTGTACTGTCCGTGTAAAGTATCTTCTTATTAAACTGTCTATACACTTACAAAGTTCTCAATGCTTCGGTTTGCATGTAAGGACCCTCATTATGCTGCCGTGTAAGTGTGGGGCTAATTTGAGCCTTGTTGGTGGTATTAACTAGCGATCTCTTTTTGCTTACGCTATGCCCAACATACTAGCGTTATAAGCTAAACTGTTTTTAGAGATAAAACTCTTTACATTCGATTATCATGAAAACAAATCTCAGGGAACGATTTAGTCTGTACCAATGTGTTATTACACCCGAGGTTCATTTTGCGCCGGAGTTCTCCTTTAAGCCTGTAGTCCAGACTAAAATGCACGTTTGAGCTGTATTACCTGAAAGCAACTTGTAGGCTATACTGACATATCTTATGTCAGTGCCATTGTTTTGTCTCAAGATGCACACCAGTAATGTTTTTTTCTTCTAAGGTACATTTTTAAAAGCTATAATTGAATGCCCAAATTTAACTAAGGCCTAATCCTGGCTTTATATCTAAACCCTGTCTGTGAAACCGGGGGTTAGAAATTAAGGGGTTAACCCTAACCTTAACCCTTGTCTACAGACTTTTATTTAACAGCATGGATACTCCAAGGTGTTGACTGCAGTGGTTAGGTCTTTAGCATTGATAAAGGACAAAGATCTTCTCACTGTGACAGTCTGTAATGTATTTTAGCAATGATTGTTTGTAAGGATTGTCCCTAAAATAGAGCTATTGATGCATTCAAGACATGTCATAAAGATCGTATTTACGAATTGAACACACATGAACGCCACCACAATGTTGAAAATAGGAAGTTATTTACTGTAAAATTAGGATATTTTTTTTACAGTGCAGTATGAACATCTGTTCTGAACTAGTTCTGGCTGTCAGTGGACGTTTAGATAATGGCCAGATTGGACATCTTTTATTTACGTAATTTATTGACTGTTTCTGGATGTCAATGGACGTCCAGATTATAGTCAGTATGAACGTCTTTTCTCAACTAGTTCTGGCTGTCAGTGGACGTTTAGATAATGGCCAGATTGGACATCTTTATTCACGTCATTTATGGACCATTTCTGGATGTCAACGGACGTCCAGATTATAGTCAGTATGAACGTCTTTTCTCAACTAGTTCTGGCTGTCAGTGGACGTTTAGATAATGGCCAGATTGGACATCTTTATTCACGTCATTTATGGACTATTTCTGGATGTCAACGGACGTCCAGATTATAGTCAGTATGAACGTCTTTTCTCAACTAGTTCTGGCTGTCAGTGGACGTTTAGATAATGGCCAGATTGGACATCTTTATTCACGTCATTTATGGACTATTTCTGGATGTCAACGGACGTCCAGATTATAGTCAGTATGAACGTCTTTTCTCAACTAGTTCTGGCTGTCAGTGGACGTTTAGATAATGGCCAGATTGGACATCTTTTATTTACGTAATTTATTGACTGTTTCTGGATGTCAATGGACGTCCAGATTATAGTCAGTATGAACGTCTTTTCTCAACTAGTTCTGGCTGTCAGTGGACGTTTAGATAATGGCCAGATTGGACATCTTTATTCACGTCATTTATGGACCATTTCTGGATGTCAACGGACGTCCAGATTATAGTCAGTATGAACGTCTTTTCTCAACTAGTTCTGGCTGTCAGTGGACGTTAAGATAATGGCCAGATTGGACATCTTTATTCACGTCATTTATGGACCATTTCTGGATGTCAACGGACGTCCAGATTATAGTCAGTATGAACGTCTTTTCTCAACTAGTTCTGGCTGTCAGTGGACGTTTAGATAATGGCCAGATTGGACATCTTTATTCACGTCATTTATGGACTATTTCTGGATGTCAACGGACGTCCAGATTATAGTCAGTATGAACGTCTTTTCTCAACTAGTTCTGGCTGTCAGTGGACGTTTAGATAATGGCCAGATTGGACATCTTTATTCACGTCATTTATGGACCATTTCTGGATGTCAACGGACGTCCAGATTATAGTCAGTATGAATGTCTTTTCTCAACTAGTTCTGGCTGTCAGTGGACGTTTAGATAATGGCCAGATTGGACATCTTTATTCACGTCATTTATGGACCATTTCTGGATGTCAACGGACGTCCAGATTATAGTCAGTATGAACGTCTTTTCTCAACTAGTTCTGGCTGTCAGTGGACGTTAAGATAATGGCCAGATTGGATATCTTTATTCACGTCATTTATGGACTATTTCTGGATGTCAACGGACGTCCAGATTATAGTCAGTATGAACGTCTTTTCTCAACTAGTTCTGGCTGTCAGTGGACGTTTAGATTATGGCCAGATTGGACATATTTTTTTAAGTCATTCATCGACTAATATTGGATGTCACCGGACGTCCAGATTATAGCCAGTATGAACGTCTTTTCTCAACTAGTTCTGGCTGTCAGTGGACGTTTAGATTATAGCCAGATTGGACATAATTTCTCATTGTCATTAATCAACTAATTCTGGATGTCAATGGACGTTCAGATTATGGCCTGGACGGACGGACGTGATATCAACCTGTTTTGTATGTCCACAGACGTCGCTTGCTCAGTGGGTAATAAGTTAGTGTTAAAAATCGAATCCCCTTTGGGAAAAAATGAATGGGATTTTTACTTCTGGAACCCGACTGTTACACTCTATTAAACATCAAATGTGTTTAGATTGGCTGTTATTTAGTTGAGTCACTGAATTTTCGCTTTCAGCATGAACGATGTGACATTATTTGCAAACATTTCTGACATGCAGCTCACTGTTCCTGTATTTTACTAAACTCATGTGTTGATTTCCTCTACAGAACAACAGCGCAGCATCCATCGGTAAATATGTCTCCAAAGGAGACACCGGAGCTGCAGCGGGAGAGTCTCTGTATGTGGCCAACCACGCTTATTAAAGAAACACGTCCACTGGATCATCTGTCTGTTCTGTCACGTACACAGTGTGATCAATCATTTCTCTGACTCGCTGTTATTCCTGTAGTCATTTTTACACTGTCATTTGACGATGATGTTAAAGAAAATAAGTATCATAGTAACTGACCAAGCAGATAAAATCCTCCAGACCGCCCCCATTTAATGCTGTCATTCTTCTCTGTCCTGTTTCTGTGGCTGCAACCCTGACAGTTTTGAATCTGTTCTTTTCTTTTTCACAATATATTTTCTTTATTTGGCAAAAGAATAAAGAACCAACCTACCAACACATAGAGTTTGATTGCCTTCACAAGTTTGTGATCTCTATATCATCAATGTTAGCAACTTTGAATGTTGCAATTTATATTAGTTTAAAGCCACACTATGCAAGAATTCCGTTTTTGTCAAACAGCGACCCCTAGAGTTGCTGTGGAGTACTTGTACTGTCGTAAATAGATGGCTCATGCCCCCCTGTATACCGGTACAGGATGGAAGCTATAAGGTGTGGCCCCTTTAAGAGCTGCGCGCGCGCTGTTTAACTGTCGGCAGTCTGTATTGTATGTGCGCCTCGAACACCACATGTATACGGCGCCGGGTTATTTATGTTTGATGCTCATTTTATCAGAATTTTATCAGATCTTTTTTTGCCGTAAAGCAATTCGTTACATCGCGAGACCTGATATCACGCGACACTTCCTGATGCTGCGGCCGGCGGCCCGCCGGCTCAAAGTTGCAAGTGTGTTTTTTCCGCTCACATGTGATATTGGGGTGCGAAACGACCACCATTCAACCCGAAAAAAGTAATATAACCATTCCAATAACTCCAAAGCTGTTCGGTTAAGGTAAAAAACCTGCATAGTTCACCTTTAAATATGAAATGTATTTTATTAACTATTTAATTAAGTTCTGTATTTGAGCTGTTTCAGATCACAGACTGACTAATTTACTGATTATAAACCTGCCCAGAACATAACAACGTATTAAGTAATTTTAGCTGGAGAAATCAGGTTATATCTACTGACAGTTATGCTTCAGTAAAACCTTGTTTTTTTCAGGTTGGTTGAATTCAGTTATAATCAGTCATCTTAAATCATTTATTTCACTTCAACAAACCCATTGTATATGTTACCACATGAAGTACATTTTCAAGTTGAACTGGCTAAAAACAAATTTCAGTGTAGGACAACAGATAGGAAAACAGATGTACAATGTATCTGAAAAACCTGGAAAATTTTGTTCCAGAAACTTTTTTTAGAATTTTTAGCCTTTTTTCTAGTCATTCAAAATTTCACTGTGTATTTTCTCTGTCACACATTCATTTCCCCCTTAACCTGTTAGTTCAGATCTGCATGCATATCTGAGTCTGTTGTTAGTGACTAAGTGACTAATGAATGTGTGAGGAAGTTTGAGATGAGTGCAGTGAAGAGAATGATAAAACTAGAGTAGAGTGAGAAGTGAAGTGTGGCTGAGCATGTGAAGCTGCCGTCTGTGCCGTTGGATGTAAAGGTCACAAGGCCAATGGCGGCTCCCTGCATGTTGTCTGTGACAAAAGTGTTGAACTCGGAGACACGTGCAAACACCTCTGGAAAATCTTTTATGGCACAGCCCAGGCTCGTCCCAAAACTCGAGATCCCAGCCTGGACCCACACAGAACCCTGTTTGCACTGTATCGGACCTCCAGAATCTCCCTGCAGAGGGAAGCAGAGAGCAGACAGCGAATCAACACAAGTGAACATGCAACAGCAGGGTTGTTTAAAGTCACCATGAAATCCGTCCTTTTTAATGAAATATAGCAGTAGTTATTATAAATTAATTATCCATGCACATAATTCATGTGTCTAATAATATTTAATCAAAATAATTTACATCTTTGATGTCGTTTTTAAAGGGATGGTTCACCCCAAAATGATAATTCTGTCAGTAATTACTCACCCTCATGTTGTTCCAACCCCGTAAGACTTTCGTTCATCTTCGGAACACAAATTAAGATATTTTTGATTAAATCTGAGAGCTGGATCACTCCTCCATTCGATCCCTTAGAGTGATCCAGTTCTCAGATTTAATCAAACATATCTTAAATTGTGTTCCGAAGATGAACGAAAGTCTTACGGGGTTGGAACAACATGAGGGTGAGTAATTACTGACAGAATTATCATTTTGGGGAGAACTAACCCTTTAAAGGGGTCATATAATGGTACATGCACTTTTACAAGTTGATTGTACTAAAATGTGTGTTGGCAGTGTCTGTACACAACCATCATATAATGATAAAAATCTATCCAGTGTTTTTGTTTTAATCTCCTTATATGTTTTCCCCTGGCTCAAATTGAGCCGTTCGTAAAACGGACGCCCCTCCCAGGATTGTTGATTGACAGCAGCGTTTCAACACATCCACGCCCTTAATATATATAAAACATGTAGATGCATTTAAAGGCCATGTTGCAGGTTAACCACCACTGTTGATTAATGGGTACATAAATCACTCAAGATATGTGTATAATTGTTAAAATGTCTCAAAAATGGTCTTAAATACCAGTTTTTTACGGTTTTGGTATTAACGGGGTTTTTTTACGCAATTCGGGGGTAACTCTAGACTCGACACTTAGTATTAAAGGTCATGTTAAAAATATGTGCAATAAATTGAAATTTAACTTTAAATTATAGATACATAAGAAATTCTCTCACCACTGTTGCATCCAGTACATATTTAAATGCGATGATTATTTCCCACCTCTTGTACTGTATTACATCCTGGTCTCAAGCATGTAAGACAGTCATTAAACCCATAGAATCCCTGTATAAAGACTGCCTCAAGATTAATGATAAAAAAAACGTCTCGGTTACTGATGTAACCCTCGTTCCCCGAAGGAGGGAACGGGAGACGTGACGTCGACGTGACGACGTTAGGGGATCGCCTTGAGAGACCAATCTACTTCGAGAGTATTAAAACGAGCCAATGCATATTGGCATGCGATAATTGCATCAGCTGCTCTGCTTGCAGCGCGAGCATATAACGAGCAGCAGGTGTGTCGCATATTGTTTTACGCTGAGGAGCCGAGACGTGTTCGGCCGTACAGCGATGGTCAGCAACTGTGGCAGCGGGACGTCACGTCTCCCGTTCCCTCCTTCGGGGAACGAGGGTTACATCAGTAACCGAGACGTTCCCCTTCAGTCGCTCACGTTCGACGTGACGACGTTAGGGGATCCCATGGAAAACGCCACGGTTGCTGCCACATCCAGCGCCCTACGCAAGACTCTCAGACCCCCAACTGGCTGGGGCGGAAGACCTGCGTAGAGGGAGTTCGAACTGCTGTTCCATTATAACCCACACAGTGGAACTCTTGGATAACACTGGGAAAGCGTGCCCCTCCAGGGGAGAGGGACGCTGCGGAGCCACATCCTGCCCGAAGGGAGGTATCATGTGGAGAATACACATATGGACTGGCCGAAGGGGCAGTGCAACATATGGAATGTCACTGGGGTGGCTCCAGCCTGAGAAGGGGGAGACAACACCAGGCAGTGACGGCAGAGCGGGCTCTGCCAGGGGAAAGACACGGGCTCACCGCAGGGAGCTGGTCGTGGAAGAATACGCATATGGGATCGCCGCAGGGATCACCACATATGGAACCCAGTCTAGCACAAGTTACACAGCATACGAGCACTAGACCTGGCGTCGGACGCTCCGCAACGTCTGACTGCCGAAGGGATGCGGAGGAACTCTACAGGGTTCGCCTGATGGGGAACTCGACTGGAGCAGAAAGCGCACGTATCCGCTCCATGTGGAGGGGAGTGGCGCAGCAAGCCGACACAAGAGCGGAAACTTCGGTGTTACCGGCTGGTTGAAGCGAGCACACAGGAAGAAACCGGCTCAACACGTAGGCTATAAAACCTAGCAAACGTGTTAGGTGTCGCCCAGCCCGCAGCTCTACAGATATCTGTCAGCGAGGCGCCGTGTGCCAGCGCCCAAGAAGAAGCGACACTCCTAGTGGAGTGGGCTCTCAACCCGGGCGGGCAAGGCACGCCTTGGGCTTCGTAAGCCAAGGCGATGGCATCCACTATCCAGTGGGCCATCCTCTGCTTGGAGACAGCCTTTCCCTTCTGCTGGCCTCCGTAACAGACGAAGAGCTGATCTGAGGTCCTGAGGCTTTGCGTTCTGTCCACGTACAAGCGCAGAGCGCAGACGGGACAGAGAAAAGCCAGGGCTGGGTCTGCCTCCTCCGAAGGCAGCGCTTGCAGGTTCACCACCTGGTCCCGGAAGGGAGATGTAGGAACCTTGGGCACGTATCCGGGCCGGGGTCTCAGGATCACGTGAGAGTTATCGGGCCGAATTCCAGGCACGATTCGTCGACCGAAAATGCATGCAGGTCCCCTACCCTCTTGATAGAGGCCAACGCAACCAGGAGAACTTTTAAAGATTTTTAACTCAGCTGATTGCAGAGGCTCAAAGGGTGGTCTCTGAAGTGCCGAAAGGACCAGAGACAAATCCCAAGAGGGTATAGAGAGTGGGCGAGGAGGATTCAGTCTCCTCGCTCCCCTCAGGAACCTGACGACCAGGCCGTGCTTCCCCAAAGACTTACCATCAACAGCGTCGTGATGTGCGGCAATAGCGGCAACATACACTTTAAGGGTGGAGGGAGACAGCCTTCACTCCAACCCATCTTGCAGGAAGGAAAGCACGGCTCTGATCGAGCAAGATCGGGGGTTCTCCTCGTGAGAGGAACACCAATCAACGAATAGGTTCCACTTCAATGCATAGAGGCGCCTAGTAGAGGGGGCTCTAGCGGAAGTGATGGTGTCAACTACCGCTGGGGGTAGGTCACCTAGAACCTCCGCGTCCCGTCCAGGGACCAGACATGGAGCTTCCAGAGGTCTGGACGCGGGTGCCACAGGGTGACCCGTCTCTGAGAGAGCAGGTCCTCTCTCAGAGGGATGGGCCAGGGAGGGGCTGTTGCGAGGAGCACTAGTTCCGGGAACCAGGTCCGGTTGGGCCAATACGGCACAACTAACAAGACCTGCTCCTCGTCCTCCCTGACTTTGCACAAGGTCTGTGCCAGAAGGCTCACTGGGGGAAACGCATACTTGCGAAGACCCCGGGGCCAGCTGTGTGCCAGAGCATCCGTGCCGAGGGTCCCCTCGGTCAGGGAATAGAACAACTGGCAGTGAGACGTGTCCGGGGCGGCAAACAGATCTATCTGTGCGGTCCCGAAGCGCCTGAAAATCAACTGGACCACCTGGGGATGGAGTCGCCATTCTCCCGGTAGCACCTGCTGCCGTGAGAGCTCGTCGGCTGCACGGTTGAGCAGGCCCGGAATGTAAACGGCACGAAGCAACCTCAGATGCTTCTGACTCCAAAGGAGGAGATGGCGGGCGAGTTGTGACATGCGGCGGGAGCGTAGACCACCCTGACGGTTGATGTACGCAACGGTCGCAGTGTTGTCCGTACGGACCAGTACATGCTTGCCTTGTAGCAACGTTTTGAAGCGGCCCAGCGCAAGATGTACTGCTAACAATTCGAGGCAGTTGATGTGCCAATGCAGTTGAGGCCCCGTCCACAGACCTGAAGCTGCATGCCCGTTGTATGTGGCCCCCCAGCCGGTGATAGAGGCATCCGTGGAGACCACAGAGTGCCTGGACACTTGTTCTAGGGGAACACCTGCCCACAGGAACGAAGGGTCCGACCACAAGCTGAGAGTTTGGCGACAGTGCGGGGTTACTGGAACCCGGCACGAGCCGCTCTGCCACGCCCATCTCGGGACTCGATCGTGAAGCCAGTGTTGGAGCGGTCTCATATGAAGCAATCCGAGCGGCGTTACCGCGGCTGCAGATGCCATATGCCCCAGGAGCCTCTGAAACAGTTTCAGTGGTGCCGCTGTTCTGCGTCTGAGCGTACTCACGCAGTTCAACACTGACTGGACGCGGGCCTTGGTGAGACACGCTCTCATGTTGATCGACTCCAACTCCATACCGAGAAAAGAGATCCTCTGCCCGGGGGTGAGTTTGCTCTTTTCCCAGTTGACCCGAAGCCCTAGGTGGCTGAGGTGACTGAGCACCAAATCCCTGTGTTCGCACAACTGCTCTCTCGACTGGGCGAGAATAAGCCAGTCGTCGAGGTAGTTGAAAATGCGAACACCACGCTCACACATGGGAGCAATGGCCGCCTCCGCGACTTTCGTGAAGACACGGGGCGACAGGGCCAGCCCGAAGGGTAAGACTTTGTACTGATATGCCCGTCCCTCGAACGCAAAGCAAAGAAACGGTCTGTGTCGAGGGAGAATCGAGACATGAAAGTACGTGTCCTTCAGGTCGATCGCTGCAAACCAATCTTGGGGACGGATGCACTTGAAAATGCGTTTCTGCGTAAGCATCTTGAACGGCAGCCTGAGAAGGGACCGGTTCAGGACACGCAGGTCCAAGATAGGTCGTAACCCACCTCTTTTATTGGGTACAATGAAGTACGGGCTGTAGAAGCCGGTCTTCATATCGGCTGGAGGGGCCGGCTCGATTGCGTCCTTCGCCAGTAGGACTGCAAAACTCCGCCCGGTGAAGGCCGGGGGACGCCGGGCGAACTGAATCGCATAGCCGAGTCTGACGTACGGATGAGCCAGCGAGACGGGCTGGGAAGCACTAGCCAGGTTCCCAGACACCGTACAAGCGGGACCAACGGCACGACAGACGTACCCAAGGTGGG